TGTTAATTACATTGTTATATATTCAATATTTTATGATGAAATTTTCATACTTTAATTCAGTTAAATTAAATCTGGTGTTTAATTATTTAAATTCATTTTGCTCTTTCATTTTATTTGTGCTTATTATTTCTCTATTTATATTTTGATTGTTAGTTGGCTGTTCTGCTACCTTCATTTATTTTCTTTGCAGGGTTTCTCGTCTCTCGTGGACTCTTACTTGGGAATGGTTGCTTTTTGAAGTGATGCTTTAGTTTTGTAGTTTTTACTTTTTGGCCTTTTTTGGGGTTATATTGTCCTTTGAGTTCTCATTTGGTAACTCTTTCTTTTCTTTCGAATAAAGTTGGGTGCGACCCTCACATTTTTTGAAAAAAAAAAAAAAAAGAAATGGCAATAATGTATGTTGTAGCTTTCATGACAAATTACAAGTTTGGTTGGCCAACAAAAATGCAAACGAAGCCGATGGCTTTTCTTGTATTTTATGTTATCTCTAATTTTGGATTTTACTAAATCTCTAATAAAAAAATTACACGAATAGAATTTGGCATTGTTAAAGTGTTTGATTGTGGCATGATTATTTATTTAAAAAAAGAATTATTGTTGGCTTTCAAGATAAGAAGATGGTGTTCAAAAAAAAATTTCAATGAGAGCATAAATTAATCATTTTAAAAATATCATCACTCTTTTTTATCAAGATTTGAAATTATATTTTTATTTTAATTTTTAATCAAAAATTGATATGGAACATGCTAATAACAAAAAAAGATTAAAAAGAATATAATTTAAAATTATTATATAATCATGTGTTATTAATATTATAATCATTTCATTAGATATTATAACAAGAAAATTATCTACTATTTTTAAAACCTAATATATTCAATTCATGAATTTGTTTAAATGCATGTGCTACAAAAAAAAAAAAAAAAAAAAAAAAAAAAAAAAATGAGCTAGACTCTTTTCTTATTTTTATATCATTTACAATGATTTACATGCATAACATTCAATTCTTATGTATTTATATATTTAACACCTAAACTTTAATTTTAACATAAATGACACTTACAAATCCATAGAAAGTATGTAAATGCGTTTAATGTGACCAAACCATGCAATGACGACTTCATCTAATCTTTTCCACCACTAGAGCTACACCAACCCTATCCCGCATACATTCATTTCGCATTTTGTCGTCCAATTGTCAGACCAATACCCTATCCCGCATACATTCATTTCGCATTTTGTCTCCCAAGCGTCAAGCCAATCATCCACCTAAACATTCTCATCTCAGCAACACTTAAACTTTGCTTTCTCATCCACAGATCAATGTTACAAATATAAGAATTTTTATTAGTATCCTTTCAAAAAATAAAGTAGCCGTTGACATTTAAATAGTGGACCGTTGGTTCAAACGTAACAACTACAGTTGAGATGAACCGAAGCAATCCACGGTAAATAGGATATAGGACCAGCCTTTATTGCACATCAAAATGAATAATAGAGATGCTTTACAAAGCAAGAAAGAAAATAGTCAGTAACTTTATATAAATGACATGCATTATCTGCAATCATATATTTTTATCTTATCTCCAATTGAATTGTCTTTTCCTGGTAATTATAATGTCTTCCATTTTCTAGCCCTAGACAGGCATCAATATCCTTCTGAATAAAGTCTTCCTAGTTTGTAGTCTTTAAAGCCTATTATGGAGTACTCAGTCATGTACAATAGCTAAGTATATTGATGATATTATTTGGAGATTGAGCTCATATGATTAGGGCTACAAATGAACCTGCCGTTCTAAGCTACTCATAGCTCACTCGATTATGTACAATAGCTAAGTATATTGATGATATTATTTGTAGATTGGGCTCATATGATTAGGGCTACAAATGAACCGGCCGTTCTAAGCTACTCATAGCTCACTCGATAAAATCTTATTCATTATCATTTGATTAATTAATCAAAAGACTTTGGGCATTTCATGAGTACTCGATGATTACAAAAACAAGCTTGAGTAGTTATGTTCATGAACAATACCATTTAAAGCTCGTGAACAAGCTCGATTAAGGCTCAAGTACAATCAATTCATGAATAATTTCATTTAAATGTTTATTTCATCGAGCATTGTTTGATATGGTTCGTTCATTTTTCCCAACTAGTTGCTCAAATAAAACTCATGTAAAGCTCCACTTAAGTCTTACTTATTTTATCAAACTAGTTGTTTGTTAATAAGCTCGATAATTCCTATACAAGTCAAACTCGAATAAGGTACATATAAACAAGCACGAGCTCAAACATATTCTTAAAAGTTTGAACCAAGCTCGGACAAACTCTTAATAAACAAGCTAGAGCTTGAACAAGCACTTGCTCAGCTCATCTTGATTCATTTGCAACCCTACATATGATAATTCTCATTTGATCTATCATAATAGTGATTGTGATTAGATCGCTTGAAAGATATTTATTGATTATTTCCACCAATCTTCTAGATTATAATACACTGGATGAGTGGCATCTACTTCCACAACACTTGTTCAATAAGTCACAAAACACGATTAAATAAACTTACTCATATGGCACCCAATGCATGATAAGTTTGGACAATAACAGGCCGAGAAGTACTGATCGAGAATAGTGATGGCGATTTTCAAAGAACAATACAACATATAGTGTGCGTTTTATGGTGATTGGTAAGCACTGAGAATCACTAATGAATTACAACTCTATAATATGCTCAAGGGCTTGGCAAGTCAAAGGAGAAAGCCATCCTCTATCTAACACCAGCGCAGGCTTAAGATTAATGCTGTGAAACACAACTTAGAAAAAACGAAAACTACATCTGTTAATAAGATACTGATAAGAAAGCATAATCTTTTTCAGGCTAGAAATTGACACATAAATCTTTTGAAAGATAATTGACAATTACAAAAAGCTTCAAGTTTGAACTTATTTGGAGAAACAGACAAGAAAAGAAATAATTACAAACAAGAAAAGATTGCATTACAGCCTTTTGAATAATTCCTTCATGGTTTTATAGCCTTTTAGCCTACAAAGGAAACAAAATCTAAAAAACCAAGTGTTATTATCAAGAACAATACCTAAATGTCTAGTTTCATTTGGATCTGGACCTAAATGTTAACACTCGTGATTTTAATCATCACGACAGAGATTTAGTGCTCATTTCTGCAAACTCTCGGTTATCTATCGTCATTTTTCCAATTATAAATCATGGCTAAGTGATCATACTTAGAGTACACCCCAAACTTATATAATTTGAACAACATTAAATAATATAGTTTCTAATAAAGAATAATAGGCTTTTTTTTTTTTTAAAGTATTTTAGTATCATGGATCTCTAGCGAATTACAACTCATGACAAATGAAGCTGTTAGGGTCTGTCAAGTCACAAGAAATTACTATTGCTTGTCATATTTCTTATAAAAAACATATCAAATCAAAGAAATAAAGCACACTACAAATTCTTTCAGGAATAAAATTATTACATATCTTAAAAATCATACAAACAATAAAGCATAATCCTTTTCAGGACATATAAACCAGTCAAATCTTGACATCACGTCAAAAATATTAAAAATTATACTATTAATATATTTTTAAAAGTTAAAAACACATTTTCATTCACACGTTTACGAAACCAAAGGGTTATAAGTGTAAATATCAAATTTTGGGTGTTCGATATGGGAACACATAAGAATTATGTAGTATGTATGCAAATTTCCCCCAAAAAATATCAGCAATAACTCAAAACTCAAAGAAATAAAAAAGGATCTTACATTACTATTTCTTCTGTTGTGGAGCATGGTTTCCACTTCAATTGAGAAGCAAAATTAGAACTCATGTGAGCACAGCATCAGATGCCAGCAGGCATTTAAAATAGGGAAATTTACATACGCAGCAGCACACAATTCTTATGTATTTACATATCTCATACATAAACATTCATATTTAAACACATAGCCCTTCAATGCTTTAACATATGCATCAAAAGGTGTACTTCATTTTTAAAAAACGGTAATAGTGCTATTTTATGTGATCTTAAATATTTGAGTGCTTTGTGTGTAAATATGTTAGTTTATGTGTGAGATATGTAAACAAATTAGAATTGTGTGCTATGCATGAAAATGCCTATTAATCAGCTTTCCTTGTTTGATTTCTTCACAAGAACAAAGAGCACAACTCGATAACTCCGGAACTCGGGGTGCAATTGTGTCTGATCAATATGCCCAATCTGAAACTCCTGCAGTGCTTCTTCCAGGAAGTACTCCAGCACAGCATCTGAACAAAACCATAATCTGCTGAGAAACTCTTCGTAAACAGATCTTAATGAAGAAGACAAATTAGAAATTACGATTTCGGAGCTCTCCGGCCAAAAATATTGTGGTTTGAGTCCCAGAAAGTTGACTTAGTGTATGTATCAGATCTTTCACTGCATCCTCGCTGTAGATTACATCAGATCCAAACACTGATGCGCAAGAAATGCTCACATGGATTAGAGAATATTTTAGAAAATAATTAGTTTTAAAAAAGGATCAAACAATTAGCACGTCCAACATGACAGACAAAAAGCCCGGGCCTATACATACATAACACCCAATTCTCATTTGTTTACATGACATGTCTAATAGTTAAACTTTGCTTTTTACATTTATAACCCAAATCTTTCATATCACATGAAAAATGGCCCTATTTTAACTTTTAAAAGTGAAATACACCATCTCATGCGTAGGTAAGGGGCATACGTGTAAAAATTGAAGTTTAGGTGTTAAGATATGTAAATGCATAAGAATTGAGTGTATATGTGTATACCCAAAAATGATCCGCACGAATCTCAAGACAATCTAACAATCCATATCAAAAAATAAATAACAAGAGACACCTCAGAAAAAAGTCTACAAGTCCTCATGAGTCTGATCGGTTGAAGAACGCCAGTCGACCAAATCAAAAGTCAGACGTCCAAAAAGCAACAGCCACCCAAGCCGACCAAAGACAGACATCTACGCCAACGACTAGCTAAAGACCTAACAATCTCACAAGCATCAACGTGAAACCCTCTCAACAGCTCACCCAAAGACCTCTGGATACCAAGGAGCAATAATAAGGTAAGAAGACCAGTCGACTAGCTACCACACTAAAAAACAACCGGCTTTCCAGAGCAAAAGCTGACCGATGCTCAAACAAAAAGCCGACCAGCTTTCCAGAGCCAAGGTAGATCGATGTCCAAACAAAAAGCCGACCGAATTTCCAGAGCAAAGGTCGACCGGTATATAAACAAAAAGCAATCAAAATCAGTTATGAATACGAAAAGGCATGCCAAGAGACAATAATAATCTGTAACAAGTAGGAGCAAACATATAATTTTATATTTTGTCCCTCTATCTTCTATAATAGGGGGACCACAACATGTATTAGAGGCTTTTGGTCATTTGACTATTGGGTTGTTCTCTCTCTAGATCAATCTTCTGTATGGAGAATTTTCTTCCCTACTATCTTATAACCTCTATTTTCCATATATAAAATGAGTCACAGAGCCCGGGAATACCCCATTCACCCCTATGGGGTATGTTTGTGTGCACGCTCTTCTTCTCTCTCCCTCTCTTATCTCTTTCTACCACTCCCTCACAGTTTCTACCGCCCCGAGCTTTGGGCATGTCTCACAGGACAAATCTAGATTTAACCGTTTGTAAATCATCAAAATATAAAATTTTCATGTTGTTAAAGCTATTCTCTCAATCACAATTTCAATTATGCTCTCCAAAATCAGTTTTTTATAAAAAATTTCAAAAAAAAAAAAAAGAAAGAAATCATCATAAAGACATTGTTTCCTTCTGCAAGAGCAACGTAACCAAAAAAAAAAAACAAAAAAACAAAAAAACAAAAAAAACAAAAAAAAAAATAGAGAGAAAAAAATCCAAGCAGCACAATGGAGAGAGAGAGTTGTATGTACCAAAATCCGGCAATGTCTCGACGAACTCTGTACCGAGATCATCCCCCCATGTGAGCTCCAACACCCTTGCAGAGCCACGAGCATTCCCCAAAACTCCTACATTGAGATCAACATTCTTCTTCAGAAGCTTCAGACGATCATGGAGATCAGTAAGAACGACATTAGCACCAAGAAGAGCTGCCACACAGCTATCAACCCCCAAAAAAATCCAAATCAGAACAGAAAACAAGTAATATTTAATTCTATCTAAAAAAAATATATTTAAGTTTCAAAATACCCGACAAGGCCGCATCCAGAGCCGAGCTCAACTACATTCTTCGCCGTCAGAAGAAGCCGCTTGGAGTCCACAGCATGTTCCAAAAAGTTAGCGAGAACAACCCCGCTGTCCCACATTACGGCGCCAGTCACCCCCGGCGTGCCCTAGCAGAATTCATAAAAAAGGCATTTTTATGCGGACCAGGACAGAGGAACCCTAATTAGGGTTTTTGTTTTGTACCATGGAAGAAGGAGATTGGAGAATTGAGAGAAGATGGCCGCAGGCTTCGAGGGAGAGAGAGTGTGAGGATTGTCGGACGAAGGAATTGTGCTTTCGCACTGAAGGTTGATTGGTTGTCCACAGAACAAGGATCTCCGCCGCAGCATCGGAGACAGGTCGAACGGCTGCGCCGTACGAACCGATCACCACCGTAAAATTCTCGCCGTCGTCCTCGATGTCAAGCTCTGCGGCTTCCCTCATCATTTCTCGTTGACTCTAAAGAAAGGTGAAGACGCAACTTTCGTAAATTTAGTACTAGAATTTAACTTATAGAAATATCAAAATACTATGTATCAAAATACAACTCAAGTTTTTAAATTAGGGATAAAAAATCAGCATTTAAAGTTATTAAAACTCAAATTTAAAACAATTTAGAGATTATTTAATGCTTCCATAAACTCTAAGACTAAAGCTTGAAAAAATATTACATCAGTACTATGCACGTAGAGTAATGTGCGTAGCCAATGAAATCACGTTACGACAACTCACGCGACAGAAAAAAAAAAACAGAGAGGTAACACAGGGAATATTCTCCCCATCTCCTCGTGTTATTCATGTGTTATTATGCGTTATTCATGTGTTATTCATGTGTTATTATGTGTTATTTATGTGTTATTGTGTCATGAGAATATTCTTGGTGTTATAATAACACAATAACACATGAATAACATAGGGGGAATATTCCCCCGTGTTACCACGTCATTTTTTCTCTGTCGGGAATATTATCCTATGTTATTCTGGTGTTATTGTGTGTTATTCATGTGTTATTGTGTCATGAGAATATTTTTGGTGTTATAATAACACAATAACATATCAGTAACACATAAATAATACACAATAATACATGAATAACATGGGAACACATAAATAACACACAATAATACATGAATAACATGGAGGAGGAATATTCTCCGTGTCCGCGCGAGATATCGTGGCGTGTTTTGATTGGCTACGCACTTATACTCTACATGTGTAGTACTGATGTAATATTTTTTTCCTAAAGCCTTACTCTACATGTGTAGTATTGATGTAATATTTTTTTCCTAAAGCTTTGAGGAAGAATTTGATTGTTTACTTTTTTTCTAAGTTTATAAATTAGAATAATCATGTAATTTTGTTTATTTTTATTCATAATTAAAATATATAATCCTTTAATCTTACGTTCAAATCTTTATAAAATCAATTAGAGATTAATGAGAAAAAAAAATGCCATTCACATACATATCGCTTAGTTTTATATATCTAACACCTAAAATTTAATATTTACATGCATGGAGCACATTTTTTCTTATAGTACCTCAAAAACATCATTATTTACTAATTTTGAAGTGTATAACTTCTAATGCATCGAAGCTAATCACATGCCTAATATTTCAATGCTTTAAATCTATACATGAGAACGTATATTTCACTTTTAAAAATGATAATATTATTTTTTATGTGATATTAAAGACCAGTGCGCATAAATATAAAAATTTATGGGAGAAAATGCCCCTAAAATTAAAAAGAAATATTCAATACATGATGGGTGAGAATCTACAAAATTTATTATTAAAAAATGAACTATATGTGGCCTTCACATGTTATTATTCTTATGCAAAACTAAGAATTTATACCTATTTTGCATATTTAACATCATAATTTTTTTTGCATTTAATTATATAATAGCCAAAATTTTAAATAACATAAAAAATTCCATTAATATTAACTCATTCAAAATGAAATATACAATTTGATGCACATGTTTTAATGCATTCTAGATACAAATGTAATTTATGAGTAAAAATAAAGGAATAGAGGTTATATTTATAAAAACTTGTAGAATTTTAAATGTTCTAATAAATTCAAGGTCATAATGTTGATTCAATGCACTGAGAATGTGCAGCATATTGGTTGCAATGAAATAATATATCCAAATATATCAAATTTCAATTAATTTATTTCTATAACATTTAAAATTTATTTTTATAATTATACCGCCAAAATCTTTCACATCATAAAAAAATATCACGATTTTAACCTTCAAAATAGCGAAGAACACTTTTTTTCATAACTAAGGCGGCATGCATATAAAAGTTAAAAGTTCATGTGTTAGACATTCATATACATAAGAATTGATTGGTATGTATGTAAATCTTCCAAAAAAATTAAAAAAAAATGTTAGTAAAGAACTTAAAAGTGTTTTTCACTGATCTTCTTTACTTCTGCAACTGCACATCACTCATATACAATTTGATAGAAGCAGCAGTTGCTAAAGATGTCCATAAATGGCTATATATTATATATTTAAGGAAACATATATAGCCAAAGAAAGCTAGTTTGAAGTAGTTTTGCTTGGCTTTGATTTCCTGGCAAGTGGAGGTTTGATGAGATGAACAGGCGCTGCCGGAATGCGCACCCACCACTCCCTTATTCTTCTTATCAGCTTCTCACTGCTCTTCTTCCTCAGCGGCATCTCTCTCGTATAAAATTCAAGCAACAGCATCATGACCAAGTGCCTCATGGGCACAGTCATGAATATTACAGCAATTGCTATCAATGTATACGCCACTTTGTTCGTGCTCTGCAAACACGTTTTTACATATCCAATGCCCATAGTTCCAATGTATACGCCACTTTGTTCGTGCTCTGCAAACACATTTTTACATATGCAACACAATTCTTATGTATTTACATATCCAATGCCCATAGTTCTATATTAATATTTATAATATCTTGATGTCATGAATTTATGCATGAAACATGTGCATTTTACTTTTAAAAAGATAGGGAACTGATTGATCTTCCAGGGATATTATGAATCTTCATTCTCCTTCATTTTTCTGCATAGTACTGCTTAATGCATTAAATATTTGTTTCCATAAAAACTTTTACACATGCTCTACCTATGTTACCTTCCATCTAAATTTCTTTCTTCAAAATTCTCACACATTAAATTTATTACATCCTTCTAATGCATTTTCTATCTTTTAATGGGCTATTTTCCTTTGCTAAGGTTCTTGAGGGAAATAATGTACAGAGATTCCTTACTTTCTTCTAGAAATCATGCCATTAAAATGCTTACTATGCAATATGTATTATAAAGCATAATTTGTTTCATCATTTAGCTAAAAGATGGAACCTGGGGAAATGCTGCCAATAGAATAGCTCTCAGCTTGAGAAGAACTATGCACCCTGTTTGGACGCACGTTTCCAACTGTGAAATAGTTTCCTGTAGTGTCAGAAGCAGTTCAACTGTGCTTCTATTAGGAGGTATTGCGATTCTAAATGCTTCAATTTGTCTCCCCTTTCTGTAATACTTGTTCCACAGCATAACCAATGAAAGGGATGAGAAAACCCCGGGCCATATGTGCCAAATCCAACCTCTAATATTCAAAAAGAAAAACAAAATTAATTTGATAAATAGATGAAAACAAAAAGAGAGATTTACACACCTACCCCTAATTCCTATGTATTAACGTATCAACCTCTTAAACTTCAGTTTTTACACACAAAACACCGGATTTATACTGAAAAGATAGGAATCGGGTGGTCTGTAGGTAAAAATTGAAGTTTGGGTGATTGATATGTTGATACATAGGAATTGGGGGGTAAGTATTTAAACGCCTGAAAAAAAATGAAAGCCAAAAAAATTTTGTAATAGACAACTTTATATTTTCTACAGATAGAAGGCAAACATATGGAAGTGACAATTCAACAAGATAAAATAAGTATATAGATGACAATCTTGAAAATTTCATGGCATGAATAAGAAAGGCATCAACAAGATCTTTAATTAATTTTAATAAATATCATATTTAGCATTTTTAACTAATAATTTATGAGTGAGATAGCCAACTCTGTGCCAGCAGGTCCTTGCCAGCATGTACAAGTTTAGACTAAAAATTCTGCGCATGCAAATAGAAATGTTAAATTTATATTATAAAAAAGAAAATTTTGGGGAATGTTGAGCATTTACTTATATACCAACCAATTCTTATGTATTTACTTATAAATTTTTTACAGAACAATTCTTTTAAAGTCACATAAAAAATACTACTAATTTAACTTTTGAAAACCGAAATACATCTTTTTATACACAAGTAAAGTTGGATATGTGTAAAAATTGAATTTTACTTGCTAGATATGTAAATACATGGGAATTAAGTGGTATGTGTGCAAATCTTCCAAAAAAAAAAAATGCTTCAATACTCTTACAAACAACTGATTAGAGAAATGAAATAACCAAGATTCCACATGGCTGCAATAATTCAACTAGGTTGTTCTAGATAATTTATTATATATTTTAAGTGGAATATAACATTTTCCTCAGATATGGATGTGATTTGGAAGATGAGAAGTACCAAAGAAAGAAAACAAAAAACAGTCTACGTTGGAAAAACAAATATTACCTGTACATAATATATAAGATGAAAAGCAAAAACAAAGTTGACTTTAAGTTGTCCTGCCATTCTGTTAAAGAATAGAGCCACTTGCCTAATTCAAACACTGGAAAAAGTAATTCCTACAGTAAAAAAGAGAATGACTGTTAATTAAAATCAACTCAAACAATTTCGGATGTCAGTAGGAAAATCAAGAAAAGTTAAAATTTTGGTACTTTACGCTGTATATTTTCATAAATTCCAGCACAAATAGTTAGGATATCAAACTTAATTTCTGTAGTGCTAATTTCTTAGGGAAATTTCTTAGAGTGGTTCATGGACTTCTTGTGGGTGGTGACTTTAGTCCCAGATTATTGAATGCGTCAAATTTGATCCGTTAATTCTTCATAACTGATTCAAAATAATCCCACCACTAGACGTATCATATAAATGTTATGGAGAATATTAAATCTAATGGTTATATATTAGGAAGCGTGTATATTTGGAGGATTGATATTAGGTAACCTAACTAGAGGAGATTTAATTACAAGTACTTTTTAATATTAGAATTATTCTTGATTTATATGTTCTAATCCTCTCTTATTTGCAGAAAAGATTATGGTTGATTTTTATGTGTGGAGTTATAACCTTATTTCAGCCATTTTTTTCCTCTCTCCCTACCTGTTGATGGTGGAATAACGCCTTCCTACGGACGTAAGTAGATTTCTACCTAACCATGTAAATTGCGCCGTGTTTGATTGTTTGTTTGTTGTGTGATTCTGTTTTCCACAATATTTTGCACAACAATTTGGTATCAAATATAAAAAGAAGGAAGGCTCTCATGGAGTTGAGATGCATACTAGGTTATTTGCAAAAGGTTTTGCGCAACGAGCATGTATTGACTATGACGGGGTGTTCTCCCCAGAAGTCAAAACATCCCTTGATTTGTGTTCTCTTAGCACATTTAGTACAATACAATTTGATTTTGGAGCAACTTGATGTGAAGACTGCGTTCTTACATGAAGAATTACAATAAGAAATATATATGTTGTAGTTGCCTAGATATGGAGCCTCAAAAGATTTGGTTTTTCAATTAGACATACTTTTACAAATGTTAAAATAGTCATCACGATAGTGGTATAAAAAGTTTGATTAGTTCATGAGGAGACAAGAGTATATGAGAAATCAATACAATCATTGTGCATATTTTAAGAGTTGGAGAATTTGAGTTCATCTGTTAGTATGAGGTTGATAAGATGAAGATACAACCATCCAATATTTAAGATGACGGATTTAGCGGAAGCTCGCAGATTTATTGGCATAAAGATTCTCGAAGACAAGATAATTCAAAAAGTTTGGCTCTCACAAGGAACATGTATTTAGAAGGTGCTGAAAAATTTTAGATCTGATGACTCGAGCAAGGCGTTGAGTCTACCCATTGCATCTCACTTTTAGTTAAGTTCAAATTAGTGTCTTAAAGATGATCAGGAGGGGAAAGATATGTGATTGGTTCCTTATCCTAGTGTAGTGGGTAGTCTGATGTATGTCATGGTTTGCACTATACTAAACATTGCACAAGTGATTGGAGTCATGAGCGGGTTCATGCATGTTTCGGGAAGGAATTATTGGCAATTTACTATTATTTTATCTACTACAGAGGTTAAGCAAATGACGGTCATTGAGACGATGAAGGAAGTGATATGGATGTAAAGCCTACTAAATGACTTCAGAGTTTATCAAGAGTCTCTGACGGTTTTTTGTGATGATAGTTTGAGTGTGATATTCTTAACCACAAATCAAGTTCATCATACTCATATCAAACAAAATGATGTGAGGTACCACTTTATTTGGGATATGATTGGTCAAGGCAGCGTTCTATTGAAAAATATACGCATGAAAGAGAATTCAATTGACATGCCCATAATGATCTACCAGTCCAAAAATTCATCTATTGTAGGACTTTGGTAAAAATCCAAGCTCATGATTGATTGTCCATACGTGAGGCTTGATCCCTTCGAGATGGGATATATGTAGGAAACCATCTTGGTCCAATCATTTCAATGTTGGAGCTCATCTTGATCATCTCCCACTTATTTGGAAGTAAAATATGAGGTAAAAATTGTTATGGAAAGTATTAAATTTAATGATTGTGCATTATGAAGTGTGTATATTAGAAAGATTGATATTAAATAATCTAATGAGAGAAGATCTAATTACATGATCTTCTTTATATTAAGAAGATTGATATTATGAAACCTAATTAGAAGAAATCTTATTACACTATTTTTTCTATATTAGAAAAATTCCTAATTTATATGTTCTAATCCTCTCTTATTTATAGAAGGGATTATGAGTGATTCTTGTGTGTGGAGCTGTACCATTTTTTTCTTTCTCCGCACCTGTTGATAGTGAAATAAATCCTTCCCATGGACACAGGCAGATTTGAGTCAAATCATGTAAATCGCACTATTTTTAATTGTTTGTTTGTTATGTGATTTTATTTTCCGTATTATTTTGCACGGTAATAAATGGATGGAATGTTCACGAAGAAGGCGTTGCTTGGAGGTTCAATCTATCAAACAACTTTATACTACTTAATATAAGGTGATAATTTTTGTTTAACTATTACTAAGCCTAGCCTTCCGTCGAAGTGAGGCCACCTAATAGCTAGGTGGAGATCGACAGACAACAATTGCCAACAATGTTGATGAGAAAATAAGGTCATAAAAAGAAAGAAAAAGTAAATTTGTCATTTGCATTTTTATCTATCTCTAGAATTAATATCCAATTTTGGTCGCCATCCATAGGAATCGTCCTCATGAACCTTACTAGCAGGCAACCTCAATTCCGTGAAGGGTTGGATTTAATAAATAAAAAAATTAGAACATTGTATTAAGTAATATAAAGTAAAGTCGTGAATATAACCTCCAAGCAATACCTCCTGCGTAAAATATTCATCCATTTACACTTCTACTGATAGGGCTAATTTGGTTCAATTTAAAAGATATAAGAAACTACAATGGGCATTTTTAGTAGTTTGGGATTAAAATAGAGTCTCACAAATAGGGCTGTCAAAAAAATTCGTTGTTCGCGAACAGCTCGTGTTCAGCTCATTCGTTAAGTAAACAAGCCGAACACGAACAAGTTTTTAAAGCTCGAATTATAAACGAGTCGAACACGAACAGTTCTTTATTCGCTTGTGTTTGGCTCGTTTTATCTCGAAATAACAGTTCTTTGTTCGCTCGTGTTTGGCTCGTTTTATCTCGAAATAAAAAAAATTTTATATAATTATTTATATAATAATATATTACATATATTATTTATATAATAATATATTATATATATTTATATCTAAGTTTAAATCATAACATCTCATGTGGTAATGTGGTTAATCCCTTATTTTGTATATATTTGGTCCAGGTTCGAATCTCACACTTTACATCGATTTTTTTCAATTTAATTTTAACGAGCCAATTTCGAGTCGAACATGAGTCGAACACGAACACAAATATTTAAATCGAGCCGAACACGAACATACTGTTCACGAGCCAATTTCAAAAACGAGCCGATTTCGAACACGAGCTATTTCGAATGAGCCGAACACGAGCCCAACCTGAGCCTCGCTCAAGCTCGGCTTGTTTACAGCCCTACTCACAAATAGTTTAGATATCATTTTTTAATATTTTTTGCAAATTCAATGTATTTATTAGTAGAGTTAATGGCTGAGAGTGTTGCCTAATTTTCCATTGATGGGAAGGTTTCCAATATTTAGTCAATCAGCAAATTTTAAGATTATTATTACTTTGGGTCAAGCAAAAAAATTCCATTAGTTTGAGTTGATAATTACGAGGCAAATGGAGAAGGCAATATTATCATTTAAAAGTTATGTATCGTAGGGAATGACCGTGGTGGTATAACTTAGAAGATAGTTCATAGTTGTCAAAGTTTACAATGAATATTGGTTGGTGGATAAAATAAAAATATCTGGTTGACCATATATGATCAGCACCGATTATAGACAGTTTTCTTGATAGTTGAAAATGGATGTAAGAAGTCAAGCAACAAAAGGTAGTTGATATAGTTGTTTTTGCCTTCTGATGAAAGAAGATATTACACAGCCAAGAAGGTGAAGAATAAGTCTCAAAATGTGTAAAACTAACTTCAACTATTTGTTGTCCAAATATTGATCAGAGCCCAGAAGTTCTCCACAACATAAAATTATACCTACTATAAAATTTTCTAAAGTATATAGAAATAGGGCCTATTATTGAATTCAACATGGATATTTTCATACTTTTTACTTAAATCTACCAAACCAAATAGTTTCATCACATTATATTCTGTGTATGAATTTATGCAAGGAGAAGGACTGATCATCCTCCTAGATAGTGATTCTACCTAGTTAGACCAGATCGGGGATAGAAAGGGCTCCTATTTTAATGTTATGGTGCCATTTAAATCACTGCAAAAAGAAGGTTATCTTGATTGGAAATCTTCTGGAAGCATAGTTTGTTTGGTGCTCATTCAATTTCTTGAAGTTTTTTAACTCAGTGTTGAATGCTTTGAGTATGTACTTTTGTTTTCATATGGTTGCTTCATCTAGGGAGATTTTGGAACCCTATCAATGATAGAATAAATTAAGTTCAGTAGTTGCATAAAAAACTCAAATATTAAAGAATGGGGAAGAGCATCCAAGGTCCATAAAAATAAAACGACAACTGACACGATTTCAATAGCTTCCATTAATGTAAGTATCACAAAGAAAAATCCTAGCGTGTTAAGAATTACCTTTATCACAGCTAAATTAGTATCAATATCTTCCATTTTAACCTGATCCAATGTTGCTTGTGCAGCCTCAGCCCTGCCAGAATACAGAATTGTTTTCTTGACAGCCTTTTGTAATGAACTTATCTCACCCACATGAACATCCCTGTGTAAATTCTCTCTTTCTTCGGGCCATTGTTCGCTCCGTAATAACTTAAATCCCAATTTACAGAGCGCATACAAAGTGAATGGGAATGGACCATTATGTGAATCCTCAATGGCATCACAGTCATGAGATCGAGCAAACAAAAGTTCCAAATGATTATACAAAGCTTCTAATATCTTGTCTCCTTTTGGAAGTTTTTCTGCTAAGTTAAACAAGAGTGTAGTCCTAAATTGCGAGGGAATAACATGAAAATTATCTTTTGTAACACGAAATCTGAAAATGCCTAAAATGGCCATTGAAAGAGCTTCTTCCCTTTGAAACTGTTTGAGATTGAATTTTCTAATAAATCTATGAGCATATAAAACTTCCCGGATGATTGCTAGCCAGTAATCTCTTCTTGAATGCCCAATGATTTGAGGAAACTCGAAAAAGATAGGCTCTGTTCTGTTACAAAACAAATTAGTAGGACAAAATTGTAATATTCATTCCTACTGTAAAAAAATGTTACAGCACTCACAGAGAGCTTGCTTTGTACATCACAGCATTATCAAAGAGATGAGCTCCCCATGGCCCAGTCAGTTCACGTTTTACCACCTGCTTGAAATCGTTTGCCAAGTCATACTTAATAGCTTTCTCATATGAACCAACCCCAAATCGCTCAAAGTAAAGAGCACGGTTGGTCAATGTTAACCTTCCTGACATACAGAATGAGAAACGTGTTAAAATAGTCCCTGACTCTTGGCAAGGGGGTCATTTTAGTCCAGAGTCTATAGAGGTGTCAATTTAGTCCCCAAATTCTTTTAATACAGGATGAAATAGTCCCCATAGAAGACCATTTCAGCTAAAATTTAAAAAGATTGGCAACTAATTTGACACTTTTTTAGACACTGGGACTAAACTCTCCATTAAACAGCCAGATGACTATTTTGGCTCTTTACTCTGTAATGATCATATCCCTGAAAAATTTTAAATAGAACATAATTAGAAGAGTTGGCCACATGGGAGACACTTAACCAGGTGATGTGGACATTCCAATATGTTGCAGAACTAAATTAGTGGGCACTGTGCCATCAAAATCTAATATAATTTCTTCTTGAGCGAGTTGAAGAGATGAAATTGATGTTGGTCCTGTGAGACATCGTGCAGAATTGAGCACTCTGAAAAAATCAATAATTTTGGTTTATCATCATAATATTGCGAAATCGTTATTTTAAATACAAAACTTTACATTTAGCTTATTATATAGTGATGTTGCAAATTAATCAATTTGCAAGAGTTCAACCAAACAGCTCTAACTCTTATATTCACAACTTATCACAACTACGATACCATAGTTAATTTCAACCAACTATAAGAGCCCTTGGTTAACTAGCAAATTTTGTTTTTATTATTCTTTGGACAGTCACAAATGTTGAAAAAAAACTGCCATAATAGATTTGGTATCAGTTGAACAACAAAAAATTCAGAGAAGATTCATACTTAATACTAAGTACACAAAGCATCAAATTCATTTTATGGTTAAATTATAGTAAATATTTTGTGTCTCATTTTTTATATTTTTTTATAGTGAAAAATAACACACAAATTATGAAACCTCTAAATTGTTTTTGGTTATGTAACTTATTTTTACTAAAAAAACAAAAGTTTTCATCATAAAAAGTTCATTATTGATAAAATTGATTCATAAGTTAGAATGCTTACTTGTTTAGGCATTTGAGATACTTGTCATATATCAGTAAATGTAGTTGCCTACCAGAAGAGCTTGTTAGTGCATCAAAAAGATTGTGGACAGTGATTGAATCGGCTATTGCAGGACAAGCAGGAGCTATTTTGGCAAAGGCTTCTAAGCCAACAGTATTTTTGTAATCCACCTGATGAACAAAACTATGAAGAAATATTAACATGAAGTTAAACTTTCCATCTACAAGTTTTTAATTATAAGCTAATGAGGCTTCGTCAGAGAGGCTTTTTCACTTTTTTTGTGATAGGAAAGGCAATGGGCAAAATAGAATGATTGTTTGGATGAAAAAATTGTACAAATTGTTATCTGTTTTTTTCTGAATTTATTATAGAAAATCTACTTTTAGGAAAGGAATAAATAATGTTATTCAAAAGGCAATTTTTAAAAATCTCTGCTGGCAAAAACAAAAAGGAGCATTTACAAATATACCGCATAATTCCTATGTATTTACATATTTAACACCTAAACTTTACTTTTTACATTTATACCACTTAAATCTTTCATATCAAAACAATAATACTGCTATTTTGACTTTTAAAAAGTGCAATATACGTTCTCATGCATAGGTAAGGCACATATGTAAAAACTGAAGTTTGGGTGTTAGATATGCAAATGCATAGGAATTGAGTGGTACGTATGTAAATCTTCCAAACAAAAAAGGTTGTGTTGCATTAAACGAAGCCCAGTCAAAGAAAACAATGTGTGAAAATGTCGTTGGCTAACCTGGACGGCCATGCTTGTAGCACTTATATAGAAAAATGATCCACCATCTTCCTCCTCAATTCTTGGATGCTTAAGGAAAGAGGATTCCTATAATTGGAAACACCGTCTTGTAAAGAATGAGGGAATAAAAACCACATTTATATTACTTGAGAGCAAAAATCCAAGTAACTGAGGAAAGAAATTTAAATATAAAATTAAACTTGATCTTCTACTTGAAGATCTTAGGAATCTCACTTGTAGTAATGCTTCACTCTTTGTGTCCGGCGTTTCCCATGCAAGCATCATCTCAAACATTAAGTGTCTAATCGCTTTGTCGCCAAGAAGATCTGGTTGTTTAATGATCATATGAAGGGTCTTATAAGAGCAAAATTCTATGATATTCCGAACATATTTTGAATTAAATTTGACACAGTCAGGAAGTTCATTCTCAAAATCCTGCAGCAACTTATCAGTTGAAATGAGCAAAATCCTGCAAGCAGGAATCAGTGATTCAGTTTCTCAAAAAGGAAATATCTGGCAACTTAATAAGATGGAAATAAATTTCAATAAAAGTAGCAGAGAGAAAAATCTTTTAACTTTGCATTATTTTGAAAAAAAAGGGGGAATCATGTGAATCTTAGGGTCTGGGGCAGCTGCAGCTGTTTAAGAAGCAGTTGTGAAGCTGTTGAAAAAGAAGTTGTTCAAAAAGTTGCGGTGACTATTACATTTTTTTTTTAATAAAGTCAGACTGCAACTTTTTTGCAGTTACCGTCGGTAGCCAATTCTAGCGGGAAAATTCAACTTTCAACTACAATATTTTGATAACGCAGACAAAACAAAATTTTGCCAAATAAAAAAAACTGCGGTGCGGTGTGGCACCACCGCCTCAAACACACCCTTAACCAAATGTATGAGTAGTTAGAATAAGATACTTAAATGTGGAAAGCATTCTTAAATTCTCGGGCATCACATTTTTGTTTTATATTTTTCATGTGATGAAATTTAACTCTAAGAAATTATATTATAGAAGAGTTTCTCCTTAAACGCACATGATCTGATAGTATTAAAGTAGTCTATCAGATAATTAGTGCATTAAAGTCATACAAAATTCTTGTTGTTTACGTTGATGATTATATAACAATAGTAAAAATATTATGAACAACTTTATGCTTTGCTACTTCTGGTGTAGAAAAAACACATATCAGACAAATTGATTACGTTCAGATCGCTAAGAAACGCATATGTGACTCAATATTTAAGCAAACTAAAATTTAACATATATTTTGAGCTTCATTTTAATGAGTATTGATACGTCAACAACAAATTCAACTTCTGACACGAATCTCAAGGCATGACATGGATCCTAATGCGCCTTTTTGAGAAAGAAACGTTTAAGCTTTGATAAAAAGTCAACCAAAACTTTGATTTCAACAATTTATAGTCAAACTGTCCGGCTCGACTAGGCGGACCCATTGGTACCAAAATTGGTCCAATCCAAGATAAGTCAAGCCCCGATCAAGCCATTAACCAATTTTTGAAAGATTTTCGGGCATTTTTAGAAGATCAAATGAATGTTGAATCTGGTGAGTTTATAATCGAATCGAGAATCTCGACAAGATGAATCCAACAAGCCTAAGATCGCCCAATTTCGACATCATTAAAACACTCAAATGTTCATCAATATCGTCCTATCAAGAGAAACTTTTTGGGTCGTCCGATCAAAGTGTTTCATATTCATTTATTAACTGCAATTAATATTCTCTAAATAGAACATCATCCCTCTTATGAGGGAAGAAGAGAGCTTGAGGCTTTAAGAAGAGCTTGAAGCTTTGAGAAAAAACTGAAGTCAAGTATCAATCAAGTCTTCGTCAGCCACCGCCGACCATCGTCAACCATCGTTGACCGTCGTTGATCATCGCCAACTAATGTCGGCCACCACCAGTCAGTCATCGCCAATCGCTATTGATCGTCGCTCGTTTCTTGTAACAAGTTCATCCTCACGTTAACGTTGTAACTTAGGAGACATTGTAAGTCTTATCCGTTTGTGGAACAATGAACCTTTATAATAATCAACTTTTAGTGGATTTTTTACAACTGTTTCAGATCTCGTGACTTTTTCCCTTTACATTTGTTTCACTTAAAAACTTTTAGTGTCTCAACTGGTTATTTCTTTCAACTGAGTGCGTGTTGAATTCTCATGTAATGCTAAAACAATAATTCATTATTCTACCGCTGTGCATTTTCTAGCATGCATCAAGTACTAAAGCAATTCATTATATATACATATTGAAGTGTGCTAGAAAATTCGCAGTACTAAAGCAATGTATTATCGTCTTAGCATGGTACAAAAATTTATCACATACTCGGAGGTGAACAAATAACTAGTGGTAGCATCGGAAGTTTTTACGTGGAAACCCCGTAAAGGAAAAAAAATCACGGGGTCTAAACCTTATAAGTACAATTTTTTATCCCACATGCGGCAGAGGGTTACAAGGTCTCTCAAGTTATAACGTCGGCGTGCAAATGAACTTATTTTAAGGAACAAGCGACAACCAATGGCAAGTAGCGGCGGCCGACAGTTGGTGGTGGACGGAGATAAAAGTGATGTTGGACCCCAACTCATTTTCAAAACTCCAAGCTCTTTCTCAAGCTTCGAGTTCCATACTTCTTCTCAAGCTTCGAGTTTCATCCCTCTTTTCAAGAGAGAGATGGGGTTCTATTTATAGAGTTTCAGGTGCAATTAATATATAAATATGAACCACATTGAACAGACGATCCGTAGAGCTTTCTTTGATCAAACAACATTTGATGGATATTTAAATGTCTAAATGATGTTAGAATTAAGTGGTCTTAAACTCGCTGGATTCGTCTTGTTGAGAAGCCTAATTCGACTATAAGTTTCTCGGATTTGACATTCATTTAACTTTTCAAATAAGATTGAAAATCTTCTTAAAATAGTATAATGTCTTGATATGAGCTTGATTTGACTTGGATTATACTAATTTTGGTATGATTGGGTCCTTCTTGTCAAGCCGGTTAGTTTGACTATAAGTTTACTGAAATTGGAGTTCTAATTGACTTTCAATTGAAGTTTGAACATTTCTTGCTCAAAAAATTGCCTTAAGATCCATGACATCTATCGAGATACGTGTCATACAATGAAAATTTATTAAAAACGTATTAGTTGTCTCCTTATTTTCAGACTAGATCAACTTTATCATCCAAAAATATATTGATCTTATATATATATATATATATTGTTTTTATTTTTTTTTTTCAACATTATGATATATACGATTGACCTAAATTTATGGTATATGAGAATTATTTTGTAAAAATGAAATGAAAATAAATGTTTGTTAGCATCACTTTTGATGTCACGAGCGTAGGATGTTACCTTGAGTACTACAGAACCTTGTTTGATGCACGTGTTAATTTTCATAGTCTCAAACATCCATTCAAACCTACCAGTACATGTTTTGTGTGTGGAACTAGGGTTAGTGTCGATTTAGCCCTACCCGGGAGAGCTCACTTTTGGGTGGTGATAGTTTGGACATGAGATAGATAGAACATTCATTTTGATGTTCAGATGTCATTCCCCGACCATTCAAAGCCTCCCATGGCTAACAGAAGTCAGAAATCTCTCCTACACACGTTTTGGATAAAATCAGGGTTTGAGTCGTTACACCCGTGTGACGGTTTGAGACACCCATCAATGTTAAAAACCCCTAATATAAAATCTATAAAATGTTCAATTTAAAAGTTATGTGACCATATTTCAATGATATTTAGTCTCTCATAGCTTATATATCGAAAAAAATCCTTCCACGAACTTTTCCGCACAATTTAGGGTTTACCGAGCCAGACCGACGCCTAGGTGCCTGGTTAAGGCAACAAGGCACCTAAAGTGACGCCCCAGAATAGAGAGGGCGGCGCTTAGGCACCCAGTATTTGGTGCAAAGGTGCCACGGGAGCTATCAAGTTCTGATTTTTTTGGTTCTTTTGACCAAATTGGCCCACTATAAACCAAATTTGAGCTTAGTAAAAGGAGGGAAAAGTTTAATGAAAGTGCTTAGCCTCCAACCATAATTAGGGACCAATCACATGCCTCATGAAGGGGTCATTTTAGGTTAAGCATGGGCAAAGAGCTTGGCCTCATAGAAAGGCATTTCCCTCCATTCCTCTTGCATCCAACGGCCATTTGAATTGGTGAAGGGGTCTCATTTGCTAAGGAGATTGAGAAATATTCTTGGAGTGGTGGAGAGCTAATGAGTTTTCTTCTTCCAAATCTTCATTTTCTTCCCTTCTTTCTGATTTTCTTCTTCTTCTTCCATCAAACTTTAGAGGAGAGTGTGAGGAAAAACTTGGGGAAACTTCTTCAAGGAAAGACTTCATTTCCTTGTGAAAAAGAAGAGCTTCATCCCGTTTGGAGGAGGACGCAAACTTCATCTCGCTTGGGAGTTTGAAACCCGTTGCGATAGGGTGTCGGAAAATTGCATCAGTCAAATGAGAGGATTTTTGGAAGTTGCGGCGAGCGGGAAAGTGATCCCTTTTATCCAGAGGGAACACTTCCAAAACCAGGAGTCGTAGCTCATCACAGATGATATCGGCATAAGTGGCAGTAAGGCGGGGCGGTGCTAGGTGAGTTTCATGAGACAGATGAGTGGAACTTATAATATCGTGAAGATCAGCATTCAGTCTCGGCAAAGGAATGGTTTCATCATTAGCAGAGAACCCAGTGAGTGGGGTATTTCCCGTTGAACGTCAAACTAGTGGCAAGTAAGCTTCATTGAGTTACGTTTGTGCCCCCCACGTAAGAGGTGAAGGATCTAGTGTTGAGACTCCTCCATCCTACGTACTTGGTCTTCCTGAGAATGACCAAGGCACCTTCGTCAACAGGTTAATGCCTTTCGGAGTAAGAGTATGTGGAGGCCTGATTCCCTTTGTTCCATGACTGTCTTCCGGAATAATGGATGTTGGAGGGGGATACTCCGTTGTTGTGAGTATTGCATCTGGTGGTCATGCAACAATTCTTGCTAGTATTTTGTGGTGGGAATGTTTTCTTCCCACATATGGCGTCAGACTGATGTGTGCTATAAAATTCACGGCAATAGAGTAATGTATTATCGTGTAAGTGTGGTATGAAGGTTTAGCACATACTCAGAAGAGAAAAATAATTAGTAGTGACACCATAAATTTTTATGTGGAAAATTCATAAAAAGAGAATACTACTAGGTCTAACCCAACTGAAGAAATCTACTATAAATTGCAAATTACAAGTATTTTCCCTTATCCCATAGGTGGGAGAGAAATACAAGATCTCCTAAGTTACAATGTTGATATGCGAATGAATTTGTTGCAAGAATGGACAGTGACAGATAGCGATCGATGACAACCGACAGCTGGTGGTTGGCAGCGGCAATAATGATACTGGACCTCAGTTACTTCTCAAAGCTTCAAATTTTTTCTCGAGCCTTAAGATCCCTCCCCTTTATCAAGAGAGGTACAAAGTTCTATCTATAGAGTTTCAGTTGCAATTAATGCATAAATATTAACTAATTTTATGGGACAGTCCAGAGAGCTTCATTTGATCAGACAAAGTTTGATGGATATGTGAGTGCTAAAATGATGCCAGAATTGAGCGATCTCGAGCTCGTAAAATTGTTCTTATCGAGACGCTTGATTCGACCATAAGTTCGTCAGATTCGACATTCATTTGGCCTTCCAAATAAGATCGAAAAGCTTCTAAAAATGGTTTAATGGCTTGATCTAGGCTTGATTTGACTTGGATAAGACAAATTTTGGTATCATTGGGTTTTCTCGTTTAGCCGGTCAGTTTGACTGCAAATTTGTTGAAATTGGGATTCTAGTTGACTTTCAATTGAAGTATGAACATTTTTTGCTCAAAAGACTGTCTCGAGATCAGTGTCATGCATCGAGATACATGTCGAACAATAAAAATTTATTGATGGTGTATCGCACACACACACATACACACGTATATAAGTACGTGTATGTATGTATGTATATATAAATTGCATCATTTATTTTAACCATTGCATTTTAATCAAATTGTTGAGATCTGGGTATTATAATTATTATAAAAGTTACTTTGCTGAAATTTAATGTAATTTGAGTTGAATATCAGCCTAAGAAGCCTAAATCAAACCAAATAAGAACAAAATCGAACACAAACCAAGCTTGAACAAAGCAAAATTCAAGTGAGACAAGCTTTAACAAGAGCTAAGCTCGCTTGAGCATGGCACATTTATACCCCCTACCAAGACAAAATTTTGAGAGGAAAATGCTGTAAACTATATATTTTGTACCAAAATGTTTGGACAAACTCCATATCCTTCTTAAGACATAAAAAAGTGTAAATATACGTTTATATTATGAGTTTTAAATTCTAACACAGCTATTTTCCATTGATGAAGTCACTCTGCTCTTCCTCGGCTCCCGGATATGCTTCAAAATGTAAACTATTATAGCTTTTATAACAAGCATTGCTTTAAAGCATTGCATTAATTTAATCAGTCAATCAATTATCGCTAACCTCCCCTGAAAAGAAAAATTTTCAATAGAAAGGCGTAAGAATCACAATGTGATGAAATTGATGCCATTATAAAGCTTATTACAAGACGGATTAAACAATAAAAAGGGAACAGAATGAAAGAAATTCGAAGAACTCAAAAAGGATGAGATAGGGCAGAGGGCTTAAGAGGATACTTGCAACAACGATGGATAACTGAATTGGCAATGGTCGAGAAACCATTAATGTGCTCTACTGTCGACGTCTCTTCCATATCTGTAAGCCTTCCTGCTATCTTCTTTTCTGGTTCTTGCTCTCTCTCTCTCTCTCGCCAGGCCATGGATGGCCTTTAAAAAAGAAACAAACAAAAACCTCTCGGAAGTTAGTTGCGATTCGGCGATTTCGAGAATAAAGAAGGATATTTTTTGACACGTGTCATTATATATATTTTATTTTTAACCTATTTCTAACGTGGCATTTATTATTTTCTTCATCATCAAATTAATATATTTACATTATATATATATTAATTTACTTTAATGTCCAAATACTTTGCAATAAAAGGGACTAATGACTTATGTGTAAGATACCATAAGAATGCATAACTTGTAATACTTGTCTTTTCTTTCTCTCATCCGGTGCTTATAAAATTTTTTTCCCGGTGAACGTAGGCGATCAATTTAACATCAAATCATGTAAATCCTATTTTGATTGTTGTTGTATGAGTTTGTCGGCATTATTTTTACATAATAATTGATATCAGAGTTTTGAGTTCATCATCAAAGAGTGATTCGACCTCGACAGCAATAAATATGACATATATTGTCGACAATTTTTTAAGTAGGTGATCTAAAATGTTTGTTGGTAGATTTGAAGGCCGCCAGCTTGGATGCAAAGATTCGACGTGAGTGGAAGAAAGGAAACAGTATAAAAGGTAGCTTTGCCTTATTTGCTTGGAAGAGTAAGAAATAATAAGAAAGTTGTAATGTAGGGATAATCAGAAAAGGAAAATCCAATTTCTGATAGGAAAGAAAAAAAAAAAAGCAAAAGCTTCTCATTTCCGGAATACACACAAAATAGGAAAGAGAGAGAATTTTGGAAAAGAAAAAAAAAATAATAATAAGGAAACAAGAAAGACTATTTTTTTTTTATTTTCTGAAAGCTTTTTTTCAGTTTTTTTTTTAATCTCTTTTTTTTTCTAGATATTCTGCTAGAGGATTTTTTTAAAGAAATTTTAATAGTGGAAACAAGAAAATATAGAACGATTTTAGGTTATTCAACGCTCATTATGATAGTTAAAGTATCAATTTATTAGATTGTTACCTCTTATCAAAATCAATGTGACAAAATTTGACAGCAAGAGAAATTTTGACATGTGACAATGCAAGGTGATGGTTGTGATGTGCTCTCTAAATCTAGAGGGAGTCTTCAATAATAATGAATGTTCTAAAGAGAAGTCAGGGAGAGATTCGTTAAAGATAAACAAAAGGTGCTTGTTGTGTGATTCAAAATTGTTTGACCCATAATATAAATATGAGTCGATAATAGAGGCTTCTGCAGGAAAATTGTGGAGGATGCTGAAACACAAATAACTCACGAATAACTTCGAGAACTGTCTCCATATGAAGCATTTACTCTGCATATTTTGAATTTGATAGAAGATTACTATTAATGAGCATTTCAATGACTTTACAAAACTGTTATTAGATTTATTAAATTTTGATTAGGAGGTTAAAAATGAAGACAATGCACTCATTATGTTAAAATTGCTCCCACAAGAGTACAAAAACTTCACTGTTACACTAATTTATGGGAAGGAGATTTTAGAATATGGTGAAATGAATAGAACACATTTGAATCAGGAGTTTCATCGAAGGGATAAGAAGTCCGTAAAAATGGATTCAGTCGAGGCACTTATACTTATACTTCATCTTGACAGATTTGAAAGGAAGAATAATTATTGAGCGGAAAAAAGTGTCATCGACGACACTTCTCAAAAGTGGAGCAAGTTTCGTGAGAGCAACTTTTGGGGAAAAATCAATCTGTTTTATGTGCAGCAACTAGTCATTGGAAGAAAAATTATCTGAAAACTAAAGATGGGGAAAAATGTTGCATCTGAGGCAAATGCTAAATCACACTTCGATGACTTTCAGGCACATTTGAGAAGTAAAATGAATGTCGAATACAACAATACAATAGTTGAATGGAGCTTCTTGACAAGACAAATCCAGCAAGCCCAAAATCGATCAATTCCGACATTGTTAAGACACTTAAATATCTATTAAATGTTGTCTGATTGAATAAAACTCTTCGGACCTTCCGATCATATTAGCTCATATTCATGCATTAATTGCAGTCAAAACACTATAAATAGAGCCCTACACCTATCATGAGGGAAATATAGAGCTAGAGATATGAGAAAAAGCTTGAAGGTTTGGGGATGACTTGAAGTCCAACACCACTACTGTCGACCGCTGCAGACCACAATTGACCTCTGTTGACTATCGTTGACTTTTGCTGATTGTCGTCGACCACCACTGATCTTTATCTACCTCTGTCGATCGTCGTTGCTCGCCGTCAATCTTCGTCGACCATCGCCAACCACTGTTGGATCACCGTCAACCATCGTCGACCACCAACAATTGTACACCACCAATCGATATCGGTTGTCGTTTGTTCCAAGCAACAAATTCATAAGCACGTTAATGTTGTAACTTGGGAAACCTAATAATCATTTTCCGTATGTGGGACAAGTGGTTGCAACTGCATTCATATTTTTACAGTGAAACTCTTGAGATCAATCATACCCTACAATTTTTTCCTTTTTCACATAAAAACTTCTAGCGTCATTATTATTTGTTTTCTTTATTTTGAGTGTGTGTTGAATCTTCGTACCACATAAAGACAGTAATCTACTACTCTACTAAGGCGAATTTTCTAGCACACATTAGTGGGTAGTTATGTAAATGCGCATATTAAATTTTGTATTTTTATATCTACTAACAAGGTGTTTAACTTCAATTAGGATTTAAGTTAAAATGAATTTGGTAAATCCGAAAAATCCTTATTTATCAAATTTGAAATAATGTTTGGTTCAATTATTGATATATTCTGTTGCGTTTAGCTTAAATCTATTGAGCTAATTTTTTTTAGAACACTAAGGGTCCGCTTGGGGCAGTTTATAAGTGCGGACCGTGTTTTTAAAACGCCGCCGTATTGTTTAGTTTGCCCGTTTCACCGGCTTATCTGAAATTGCATTTGGTTTTTTACACGGTTTTTTACACTAAACGCAGGCTGCGGGTCAACCGCTGCGGCCGACCTGCGAGCTGAGTTTCAGGATAAACAACCTATCCTGAAATGCACAAGCTGCCCCAAACGGAACCTAAATCTACTAAATATAACTAATAAGTGAATTTAAGAGGGAGAACAAATAAAAATTGAATTTAACTTAGGGGAAATATATTTAATGTTTTTATGATATTTATTAGATATATAAGTTAAATTTAACTTAAATACACACGGTTCATAATAAAAGTATATAATGGAGTAAAAAGCGCCTAACGGCCGATATATCGATGGTCTGCCCTCCGACGACCGACGACCGAAAAATTATTCCATACGGATCGACACCGTGCCCGATCCGGAGCTTAAATCACCTGATCTACGGTCCCGATGTATTTCGGTGGGCCCCACTTATTTTATTTTATTTTTTTTAAAGGAAAATAATCCCTTCGGAATCGGACGCAATAATTTCTCCCGACGACCAACATCCGGTCCATTTTTTTTCTTCTTAATCGCCGCACAAC